ACGTTTTCGAAATGGGTACGACCAATTCCTAACATATTTAGATACGTTTTCTGACAAAGAGGCGTATTGCGATCTCAGTAGTAAAACGTTCTTTTATTTGTACGCGTTTTCTTTTTAAGACGCCGACTGGCAGTTGTTTCTCCACCATTCATCGCTTTCAGCTGGGCCATTAAAAATATATCTTGTTCGGAACTAGAGAGAGCTTGAAATGCTTCACGTAATTCAGCAAACTTTTCTCTCGGAATCTTTTTTGAACAACCACAATTGCAACCTACCTCTAAAAAACGTATTGCTTTTTCGTATTCGGTCGAACCATTATAATTATAATTCTTCATATACTAATACGGGTATTCCTATATATTAGTTTTATCACTTTCATAATAGTAATCTGCAAATGTGTTCAAATTTTCAACAATCGAGTTTCTTTTTATTTATAAAGTCATACCATTTATCTCTATTACACAGTTGTGAGATTTCAGAAATGAACATAAATCTATGAACAAATTGAGGAGTTACCATAGAAATGGCATTTTAATTATATACACTTTTTTTTTTCAAAGCTATTTGTATGCTTATCCTATTGATCAATTATGTTATAATTAATTATACTTTTTGAAATGATGCAAAATTCAATCTATCTCCACAGACGCTTGCTTGAACACTATGTTCCAAGATGAACCACAGAAAGACACCTGTTCTTGGTGGTCCTTGTATTTGATAAGCGTGGTCCCTTTACCTTTGTCATAGATCACATGAAGAGGGATCACGTTTTTATAGGTCGTACTCCTGTAATAGTTGGCATTCGCATTGTCTGTTAGATTTACCATATAAACAGCACAGCATTTGTGTAGCATGCAATAGTAGTCCGACTTTTTCAAATGTTCATCAATTTTCGCTTCGTCCCCTTGCACGAGGAGTTCAAAACCATATGGAGGCAGCTGGTCATGGTTGCGAACAAGAATATCAAGGCGCCGATGCTGGTTCCCATCTGCATCTCATTCCTTCACTTCAGGTAGAACATGGTACAATAAGTCTGCATAGGTTGGGGATAACAAATGTTTTATAATGGCTGCAAATTCGAATTGAAATGCGTACTCTGACAGATGGCCATCAGAGTTGGTGGTTTGTAATGCGAATATGTGTTGGGGTGCCAAGTTCTGTACGAGTGAAGACAGTCAATCAAATATACATTGTCCCAGCCATGATCATGAAACATACATGATTCTTACCTCTATAGTGCGTGCTAACAACCATTTTACATCTAACTCATTCGGCAACAAATAACAAAGGTGGCATTGATACTTTCAGAGTCAGACCAGAGACATACATGATCATTAGACTGCAGAGTATAGTATATAGGTGCAGCACATTTGACATCCATCTCTGCTGGCAACATTGAGTTTCTGATAAGTATTCCTTCTGCAAGGATCTCTTCCAGATTGGCATCCTTTATCAAAAATAAATAAGTCAATAACATACAAACTATTGATAATATTAATATTGCTCAATAACTTACATTAGGGAATGTGGCAGATCCACATCAGAGCACAGTTCCAACAATATGTAATTGTGATTGCAAAAGTTTCGGGAGAGATTCAATAATACGAGCATAGTTTGACATCCTCTGATGAAGCTCTGCAACTCAACAGAGGCAAATTTCCTCCAATTGTCGACTGTTATCTTATTTTAATTTCAGTGGTTGACCACCCTTTTCACAAGCACTCGACAGCAGGTGCCAACAAGACCTTTATGGCTGAGGGTACACTCAAAAATGTCTTCAGCGATGGCGACAGAATCAAACTCAACACATTCTTGTTTAGAGTATTGATCTAAGAGATTTACGATGTCTTCTGCATTGAATTGTTCAGGTGTGATGACTGTTTCCGCTGTGAACGGTGAGAGAGAACCAGGTCTTTGGAGAAGCCACTTGATAGTCTCGATGCCTATGAGTGCGATAGCATGCAGGCAACGATTATTCCTGTCGCCTTTGAGCAAACGTAACGTGTCCAGCAGACTATTAATGATTTCAAGATCTTTGCCCACGAGATATGAGGCCTCGTCAATAAAGAGAATCATTGGCCGTGATGAACTCTGCCGCAGAAAGAAACTCTCAAACGTGTGCGAAGTTACACACAATTGTTCGTCAAAGGTGAACAAGGTCGGATTCAAGACACGCAGTTTTTTGCATATGGACATCCAGAATGCATCGACTCCGTTATCAATATCAATCCCAGCATTGAATGAAATGATGTAGGCATCAGGTGTGGTCAGTCTGGAGCCAGCCATGTCCACTGTCAAGGTGTGGAGATATCGTTGTACTGCATATATCACCGTTGACTTGCCACTTTGGCGATGTCCATGCATAAGGCACAGCTCGCCCTGGAGGAGCAAATATGACAGCTTTTTCACTAAGGGGGGTTCAACATAAAAGTTTACTTCTGGGTAGGCTTCGTTGGCAGGCGAGAAAATGTGATGAACTAAAGAAAGAAAATTAGTGCAGATTGGCAAGATAGAATAAAATTAAGCTTGCACGAATCAGGATCTTTGTAAACATATCCTTAGCTGGGGGCATGTCCAGGTCTGAAGAAGAGCGCAAACGTCTCACACCTGGTCAGTAATGGAAACAATCATTATCCAATGGTTACTACTATAGCATGGAATACAAAAAACACACAATAACCTACTCTACTCCTAGTACACACTACTCTATGTCCCCAATGCCCGAGTCACAAAGTCGTTACCTGGCTGAGTAAGCTCACGGAGCTTTGCTCCCCACTCATCCACCACCTTTTGTCGGTCCCGGACATCCTGCTCCAGCCTCTCTCCAGCTTGTCCTTCTCCTCTTTCCATTCTGCCCACTTCGCCTCCATCCCTTCGTCGCTCCACAACTTCTTCTCTAACCATGTCAGCTGCTCTCCGTATTTCCCCTTAAACTCCTGCAACGCCCTCTTTGCATCCTCTAACTGTACCTTGGCGTATATGTTTGACTTTTTGATTGCAATTGTGTCACGCTGACATGCATTCGACAATGTAATAGTAATAGTATTCATATCCAATTGACTACTCCTTTGCTTTTCAGATTTTCAAGCTGAGCAAATCTATAACAAGTCACGCTACCCATTCCTCAGTTTTATATATGCCTTGTGCAAGTATTCTTTCGAAACGTTGTTTACCAACTTGTAGAAAGCAAGAATGTTATCTATGCCTTCTCCATAAATTTCTGGTACACCTTCAAATAAGCCATATGCCTCAGGATTTGGGTGTCTAAATGCTGACAACAATTGCTCAACTAGAGACAAATTGCATCTCTGCATGACTTGGGTTTGCTCTGGTAATTCTGCTCTGCTACAATACTACCAGTGTATGCAGTAAGCAGCATTGACAAATGATCCCCTTTACTTTGAACTGCCTTAATCTTTGACATCATTGTTGCTTGGTCTAAATAGTAATTTGGTCAGTATTTAACGGTCTTTTTCTATATTAATGTTAGTAGAGAAATTTCAGTATAACTAATACATACAGTATGTATTAGTATTACAGTATATACATTTTATAATATATTTATTATCGCTCATAATAGTGAATAAATTATTATTAAATATACTCGGATTACATTTCAAATGGCATAACGCACTTTTCAAATGCACTTTGTTAAATTTGTTAGGAATACGGTCTTAGGATGTTTGCAAAAAGTTATATCTATGAACTGTGGGTTATACGTCTAACATCACGGATTAATTAGCTAATACGCAGACCTCAAAACCTCAGTGAAAACGTGACTTTACTGAGGATGTATGAAAAAACGCAACCGCCGATCTATCGAAAACGAAATTTTTTGCGTCACTTGCATTGTCAATATCATGTGGCTTTCCTATAAATGCGCAAAAAATTTTACCGCGTCCCTCTTTCTGTTTATGTCAACTACGCAGAAAATGCCCACGCTAATACACGAATATTTTAATCGTAAACATACCGAGTGGAGTATCACTGAATATCTAAACGAAAGCAATGAAGAACCGTTTCAATTAAAAATAGATGTATATCTAAAAAGTCTTGCGAACATTATCAAAAGTGATCATGGAAAGAGACGCGACAGAGCGCGAGATCTTCTTGCTAAAGTATAAAGAGGCACGTAAAATTACTTGTTAACGTTAAAAATGTAAAATTGAGTGGCGTGGTATGGAATCTCTTAGTTTCCATACTATTCAGGTCTTTTAGTCGGGTCCACAAAATCGGTGTTGGGGCACAGGCAATCTTTTAGTTTGGCTGATGTTAAAAAGTCTTTTAGTCGAACTAACACTGATGCCATTACGGCACAGGCAATCTCTTAGTTTGGCTGATGTTCGGAATGGAAAGAGAATTAAACGTAATTATTACGTATTAATTGAGACTATTGCCTAACTACCCGAATATTATTACATTGCTAGGAACCTAGACCCGATTACGAATTAGCAAGGAGATGGGAGAAGGAGCGTTCGCGTAAGCAGGTCTACCTTCATCAACCAACTATAAACGGGACTGTAAGTGGTCCGATAAATGGTGCATATATAACTGGGACTGTAAGCGGAACTGGTGTAACAGTTGGAACTGTAGGCGGAACTGGCGTTGAATTATCCACATCAAAAAAAAGAGATCAAGAGGTAAATATAAAATCGAACTGAACAGAAGGCTACGAGATCAGCTGCAGGCTGCAAAGGTTGTAGCTTTCTTGGTTGCTCTAATAAGTTGGCACTTATTAATTCACTTTTTTTTATCGATGCAGGTTGAAGCCACTAGTTCATTAATAAATATCACCAAAGAAACCTTTGCGACGACAATTGGAAACGTTCATTCTGCTGTCGAAAACATCAATGATACACTGGTATGAAGTACTATCTACGATGACACTTGTTCACTTTACTAACGCATTATTCACAGAGGATTACAGGAGGTGAGTCAGTAACAGCTACCAATGAGAAACGTGCTCATTGTGCTACTTCAGCTTCAGCGACAGAAGAATCTGCTAAACGGCTCAAGATCAGTGGTGATCCGCCAAGACGTAGTATTAGTACAGAATATGTATGGCTTCTTTATCAGCAAGTTCTTGAGATAATTTGCTTAACTTCTGTTTTTGCTTACTGTATTGCTCTCCTAATTAAAATCTGCTTTCTAAAGTCAAATGACTATGACATCGATAGGACATGTGATGACATTGATGAAACATGTGATGATAATGATAACACATTCAATGATGTGCTTTCAGAATGCATTGAGGATGATAACTTCACAATGGACTTGAAATCAGTTGCCAAGCAACTCAAGCAGACGCCATTGGATGAGGTAAATTATATGTTCAGTTTTCTTTAAATTTATTAATAACAATAATATCTCACAGCATACTTGCATTAATAGTGGGTTATCAATGGCATCAATGTCACAGATCGTTTTCGGCAATTTCAGCAAACAGCTCTTAAAAAGGCTTCCACCACAGGGCTAAAATGGGACAATCATTTAGAGATCCTGTATGTATTTTTGAAGTATCTAATGTCAACAGTGTGCAAGAACAAATACTAATGATCTTCTGCTAAGTGGATAATAGAGCTCTATCTTCAATAATGGTGCTTTCAAGCACATGCCCTTATCCTACTTTCACAGATGATGAATGGGAATCAGTTCTATCTGACAATCCGCATGCAGTCAATAATCCTGTGCTTCCCAGCGAGATTGCCATTTCATTGCGAAATTCATGTGCTCATTACCTTGAAGGAACTGAGGTTTACATGACTCCAGTGACAAAATCACAATTAGGCTGTGCAGCAGCACAAGTATTTAATGGAATGTAAGTTTGTTTACAATAATAATAATCAGCAAGTGAAATAGTGGTAATGTAACAAAAAATAATTTATTTCTTTCCACATGTAGTGCCTTCAGTCTCTCAGAAACTGAACCAACTAAATCAACTGAGGATAATCATTGCTTCTTGTTTCTTCATCCTCTTCTCCATCCCATATTTGCTACAGGCAGGAAGCCCTATGATGTCCACTTAAACTCTGCAACAAAAGCAACTAATACTCGTCCAGATTTCACATGCTGTGTGAATGGAATTGCCATCCTCAATTCAGAAATTAAGCCTGTTGGCTTCACTCCTCTTCAGTGTCTCAAGGATAAGTCCAAAGCTCCTTTGCGAGCTAAAAAATCAATTAATCAGCTGCTTGAAGCAAAAGGAGGCCCAAACAAGTCTCTCTTTTTTACTAATGCAGGTGATATACCTATGATAATGGTCTGTGTTTTATTATTATGTCAATTGACCATAAACATGATGCTTTTTTTTTTTCAGGAGATCGTGTTGAGTCTTTTATTATGGACTTGTCTCATGATGGGCTGTACCGAATGTGGCCTTTCCTCACCACACAGCTTGTTATGGATAAACCAACGATACCTTTACTTGAGTCAAACTTTTGACATTTTGTTGCAATAGAGGTAAGTGCATGTACAAGTATTTCTTTCCATAGATATGAAATGCACAGCTCATTTGTGCTTGCATTGACAGGCATGTGTCAACAAAATTGCGAAGGATTTTAGATCTCGTAGTTATCAATTTACTCCTCCGCTCCAAATTCAGTACATGCGGTCTTTACCAACCACTCCACAGTTCAAGAGAATACTGAAAAGAAAGTCAGATGAGAAGAAGCATTGAAATCTATATGATAACTTTATAAATTAGGTTACAATTACTTTAGTGACCAAAAAGACTGATTCCATCCATGGAATAGCTTAACATCAAATGAACATAACTACCATTGTACTTATCAAGTTGCAGCGTTCTTGTTTGCACCTACTTGAAATGCCAACTAATAAAAAAGCTGATGGAAGACTCATTTGATCAACCGGATTTTTTCATAATTGAAATAGAAATAGTGATGCTTGCATCGGAAGTAATTGCAAAAAAGAAAAAGCAATAAAAATCATACTGTATATAGGATTACGCGTATATTAATATGGTATAATTATAATGGTTCGACTGAATACGAAAAGGTAATACGTTTCCTGGAGATAGGTAGTAAATGTGGTTGTTCAAAAATAATTCCGAGATGTTTGCTGAATATATTTTTAATGGTCCAGCTGAAAGCGATGGTGGAGAAATAACGGCCAGTCGACGGCTTAAAAAGAAAACGCGTACTAATAAAAGAACTTTTTACTATTGAGATCGCAATACGCCTCTTTGTCAGAAAACGTATCTAAATATGTTAGGAATTGGTCGTACCCATTTCGAAAACGT